TAATAATTCTCTGTATCCGCATTGTTTTGATTATAACATATTCATAGCTATATGTCAGATTAGTGTACTGATTCACAAACAAAAAATATATATATATATATATATATACAAGAACGGAAAGAACGGAAAGTTTATAATATTAGTTCTGAGCAAACTGATTGATATTTTACTGTGTGAGCTCTGGAGAAAAGCCTTCTTTTCTCTGCCATTATGCAAATGAATCCTCACTAAGTCTGTAACTACATTGTACGCTTCTTTAGAGATCGGCGATAGTCTGCACCAAATGAGCTTAGGCTTATTGGATTTCATTTTCACCGAGCTGCCATATAACACACAGCAGTTCAGACACACTTCAAACTGTACCGCATGCTCTTATTCTGGGGTTTCGAATCAACTGGCTGCTTAATGCACAGCAGCTCATGAATTGATATCAAATCACATGTTCAAAAGTAAGATCTGAGAAGATGTTTGGGTTTGACAGTGGGGCCTGACCATGTAAGGGGTTACAGTTTCAAAACGTATCATTCACTCCCCTGTTAATACAGTTCATATATGGAAACTAAGCAAAAACAGCCTGTATTGAATTATTGTTTTTGTCATGTCACAGAAACCAGATCAAAACATGGGCCTGTTCAGCCTACCGCAGTTTAGCCACGCCTATTCACACTGAAGTTATGTTTAGTGCTTCAGCCTGGACTGAAACACTAAATATAACTTTTTAGAATTAACTTGTTAAGATGTAAAAAAAAACGTCATGAGTGGTTTGGTCTGAAATGTTCTGTTCTAGAGAAACTTACCGAGTCAGAATTGTTCACAGTGGTGGTGATAGGAACCAGACGTCCACCTCTAAAAGCTCCCTCACAGAAAGTAACTCCTTATAATGGTTATGAATTCACTGCCTGATGCCTGAGACAATGTTTAATGATAGTTTTGAGTAGATTTTGGCCTATAGATTTGGCTGTATAGTAAATAAAATGTCTATGTTTGTGTTGTAGACATGCCGGCCCCTGGTTCCTATCACCACCACTGTAAAGAAACCTGTAAAGAGTCTTCTGTGACACATCAAACAACTCTGAATGACTTTACACCTCAACCACAAGTTTTGGTAACACATTATTTGGATGGTCCACTTTAGATGCTTTGTCGATAATTCATTTTATTTTCAAGGTACATTCAACTAAATATCTCATTTTCTTTAACTCTAAACCTGGCTTTGATCCTAATCCTAACCTTAATCTCAACCCATAACCTAAACTCAACCCTCACCCTGGTTCTAGCCCTAACCCTGGCCCAAATCCTAACCTTAACCCCACCACTGCTTAGAATCAACTGAGTTTCAACAGACAACAATGTGAACATCTGTAGATAATCTAAAGGGGACTGTAGTGGACTATCCAAATGAAGTGATACCGATTTATTTTAGTAATTGGTGGAATTTTCTTTAAGTCAAGTCAGGCTTTATTGTCATTTCAGCTCTATACAAGTAAACAATGAAACGAACAACATTCCTCCAGGACTGTGGTGCAACACAGGAACAATACAGTATACACAGTGCAGACAATACAGTACAATAAATAAATATGAAAGACTTACAATAAATACAAAACAGAGCACAGGCAGTACACAGAACTGAGAGTATGTGGAGCTGTGCAAAGGAGGATGGAACATACTATGACATATTATGAGCTTAGCAGACAGCCTAGCATATATGAGCATGTCAGTCACTGAGGTAGCAGCCAGAGCAGCAATATACAGTATTTGGTTGATACAGTAATTCTAGCAGCTAAGTAAAAATGTGCAAAAATGCAAGAATTCAGATCTGCAGTCATATCAAATGAAGTATTCAGTGAAATGTAGTACTTATGTGTAAATACAGTGTTACAGACATAATTTGGAACTGCAAGAAGTGGGGAGTGAGTTAGTCCCGTATTGTTATGTATATGTGTGTCCGTGTGGGTGTCCTTCAATTCAGCCTGTGGACGTTGAGGAATCTGACGGCTTGTGGAAAGAAACTGTTGCACAGTCTGGCTGTGAGGGTCCGGAAGCTGCCTTCCAAATGGCAGAAGAGAGAACAGTTCATGTGAGGGGTGTGTGGGGTCAGTCACAACACTAGTGGCTTTTCGGATGCAGCGTGTGGTGTAAATGTCCGTGGTGGAGGGGAGAGAGACCCTTTTAAGTAAAAGCCCACAGCAAAGTGCTGGAGCTCTGAGCCAAAACACTGTTAATCGCAAAGCCTCTCCTGCCATTTGTGGTGTCCTCCATGGGTCGTGCTGCTGTGAGGAGCGTAGGGGGTGTGGCCATGCAAAGCGGCTCTCAGGATGTGACACCGCTGGGTAAAAAGGACACTCGTTGTTGCTGATGTTGGTGTCATTATTGGAGTAGCTGTAGTGCAATTGTGACAGAGGAGGGTGAGTTTACAGAGTGTTGGAAGTGTCTACGCTCCTCATGTGTCGTGCTACCGCCTCCCTGTGTTTTGCTTTGGGGTATCACTGGGTTCTTCTGTCTGCACTGATGATACACATGATTTGTATTCGCTGTAATACCAGGAACCAAGCTCTAAATATGAAAAAATAAATAAATAAATAAATACATTAATTAATTATCAATGTTTATAGGATAAGATCTGATATGTTCACTAATACAGCAACATCATAATGTAATATGTGGCATAATACACATAACATAAAGAGTTACAAAACCTACAGTAATGAAACATTAATAGTGGTGAAACAGCCTATTATCCCACCAGCCACCTTCAAATAGACTTAATAACATAATTTTAAGTTCATTCCAGTTATCCTGTATGGCATTGGCATATTAAAATGCTTTCATGCTACATTTGCAGAAGGAAGCGGAACAAGCTAATCTGTGTGTGTCTAGCTGTCAGAAAAGGTTAAATGTAAGGGTAATTTCAGCAAATTGAATATTAAATTATACACATGCTTATTTCCCTCACAGCTTAGAAAGCAGCAGAAAAGTTCCTCAAATCAGACAAACTCCATCCGTCTTTCAGTGTGAAGCAGTGGATTTGAAGTCAACACTGTGCAGACTGGAGATTTCCATCTTCTAAAAGCTCTGAATCTGAACATCTGCTAATTATCAGTCGTCCGTAAGCTGATTCACACTTTTTCAGTCTGGCACATTAAAATGCTTCAAGTTCAACACATTTTTCTGCTTTTTGTTTGTTATAAACTGAGACAGTAGACTCATTAGTAATGTGCTAGACGAGCACCTGCTTATTATCTCACAGTCTGTGAATCTCCTCTTGCCTTTCTAACCAACATATCTACACTGCATTACAGGGGAATTCTGATGACTTTTACAAATGTCTGCATAATTAAGTCCTTAATATGTAAAGAGAGTCATTCAGAGTGGTTTGGTGTGAAATGCTCTGTTCTAGAGTCAGCATTGTTCACAGTGGTGGTGATAGGAACCAGACAGTGCCAACACGGTGCCTCTGAAAGCCATTTCATAAAAAATTATTATACAGAATTGGTTACAAGTGTGCTCACCAATGCCTGAGACACTGTTTTATGATAATTTTAGGAACATTTTGGCCTGAAGTGTATTTTATTATGGTGGAGAGGCAGAAGCAGAGAAAATAGTCACCAAAGAAAACTTTATTTTTCCCCTGTAGTTAACTTAAAATGGCTATGGGCTAAAAATAGTAATAATAAAAATAATTTTACATGATCATTTCCCACCCTCTCTTTATCTCTTGCATGTAAATGAGCTCTGTTCTAATTGGCTATCCTGTATTGGGTCTCATTCATAAAGCAGTCTGGGCTGAAAGCACTCTTTATAACATCAGTGTGAATGGGCGGGGCTAAACTCCAACTATGGAATAGGTAGACATAAGTAAATTAATGGATATAAGATAGTATAAGTACATGTGTGACATCACAAAAAGAGTGATTTCAAATTGGGCTGTTTTTGCTGCTTAGGTTACTTATATGGACTGTATGGGAGTGAATGCTTTGAAACTTTAACAATATTTACATACTACATCAAACTTTTTTTCCAAAAATTGAGAAAAGTATGTCTTTTCTCACTGTAAAAGAGAATCTGCGAGAAACGCTGCACTGTAAAAAATGGCTCGTCAGATCTGCCTAAAAACATTACTTCTTGTGGTAACAAGTAAATTAACTAGCTTTATTCAACCTAAATAAAACTCTGAATGAATAATTCTTTCAATCAAAGTATATTGAGTTGAATAAAACTAGTACAATTTCTTGTTACCACATGAAGTAATTTTTTTAAGTAGATCTGATGAGCCACTTTTTACAGTGTAAACAGATACCAGATAAAACCCACTAATTAACAGTAAAAGTATCTTTTCTCACTGATGGTAAAAATCTGTAAAATTACAGTCATTTCATTTCTAAGAAACGTTGCCTTTTACTGTAATTCAACACTTTCACTAGTTCAACTAGGCATTTTGACATGCAGTATATTATTATGGTAAAATACTGAATATCAAAAAGATTAGCTGAATTAGTGAAACTGTTTAATGACAATTAAACAGCCATTAAAATAAACATGAATATCCATGAAATAAAGATGATCATTTGTTTTTTTGAATTTACAATTTGTTTCTATAAATGAACAACAGCAGTTCTGTGCAAAAAAACTAATATATATATATATATATATATATATATATATATATATATAGTGTGTGTGTGTTAGTTTTTATATATATATATATAAATTTTCATTTTTCTACATTATTAGAGCTCACCAGCTGCCCTTTACATTGTGTGAAAATTTCATATTGAATGTTCCAACAGAAATTTCTTGGAATAAAAACTATTTTACATTAACTTATATTAAAAGTAAAGCCTTTTTTATTTGCCCTCTCCTGCAAAGCTGCCATTTTGGAGATGCTTGTTTTATTGGACGGCGGCGATATTCTAGAAAACTAGAATTCTAGAAAGTCTCTTGAATCTTAAAGCCTTTGTATCTGTGAACTGTCTAAGTGAAAAATGTTCTGTTTTCAGTTTGTTTTGCAGTGTGGAAGAACCATCACATGCGCACAGTGACCAACTACTTTATCGTGAACCTCTCCTTTGCTGACATCCTGGTCACTCTCACCTGCCTTCCTGCGAGCCTGGTGGTGGACATCACGGAAACGTGGTTCTTCGGAGAAACGCTCTGTCGAATACTACCTTATTTACAGGTAAGCGTTTCTGAAGAGCAGATAAACTATTATCTCAGTGATCTTCAGTGAAAATAAATAAAAGGAATTCATATTCAGCTGTCAGGTTATTTCAGAGCAACACTATGTAGCATTTGGGGATTTGGAGACCTCTCTGGTGGAAATGTGTAATTGCATGCAAAGTGAGGAAGAACATTTTGTAATGTTGGCTGTGCTTCGGACCCCCAGAGGTGGATGAATCTGACTTGTGTAAGTGAAAGAGGGCGTGTTATATCTTTATCAGTATAATGATGATTTTGAGATCATTTGAGGCCTAAACATGGAGCTGGAGCTTCTTTCTGAGTCTCTGTGTGACTTTAATACATAAAAATGTACGACATGGTCTGAAAAACTCAACCCGACACCTCTGACTTTTAAATGAATATTTCATGCTTTACAGGGTGACTCACAGCAGGGAACGCTCACCAAATTTTAGTGCATTCATTGTTCTTCATACTCTGTAATGCTACTTCCTTCAGTTTTAACACAAAAATTACACTGTGCTGCTTTAAGACACATCTGAAAAGACAAAAGGACGTCTTGAGTCATGAGTTAAGAAGGTTTAAGGTGCAGTCATAGGCTGTCTTAACCATGATAATCCCCCCAGGATGCCTCAAGATGTAAAATTCATATTATTTATTTTTTAATTACAGTGTAGCTACAAATAAATGTAAATTTAGTGCTTTTGAGTAGCTTTTTACAGCAATTAACTCTTCATGAAAACAGGCCAGTACTATTTTTTACAGTTACTACTTTTTAATAAAGTTATCAACTGTCATTTTTTCAACTTTTATTGTAATAGTACAGTATATTTCTGTAATTAAGCCATACTTTTGTTACGTTTCATCATTTATGTCTGAAATTAAAAAAGCAACAGCTGCTTAATTTGAAAATATATAGTCAGTAAAAGTGTGACTTTTATGTAAGTTCACTATTGCTACTGTAAAAAACACAAACTTCATTTAACAGTACACTCTAAGAAACGGTTGTTCTTCGAGGGTTCTTTAGTAAAGAAAATGGTTCTATATAGAACCATTAATGCTCAAAAAACCGCTTTGCATGATTAAAGTGTTTTCTGCATCATGAAAGGGTTCTTCAGAATGATGGACACCATATAGCACCAAAAAGCGTTCTTCTATTTTTATGATGTCAAGCTTGTAACAATAGAAGAACCCTTTTTGGTGCTAAATAGAACCCTTTTCAACAATAGAACCATATACAACACATTCTCCATCAGTCTGAAGAAACTTTCACAGTGCAAACAATCGTTTAATCATGCAAAGCGTTCTTTTGAGTGTTCATGGTTCTATATAGAACCATTTTCTTACTAAAGAACCCTTGAATCATTTGAAATGTGAGTAATTAAATAATAAAATAATACATTTAAAATGACTCAAACAGCAAATTTTAAAAGTCGTACTAAAAGGTCCACGAACAAAAACTGCTTTTATTTCATCATTTATCAACAACTAAAACCAAAATTTAAAACATCATTTTACACTAAAGCACGTCGTTGTTCTTCAGGAATACTTTTTAGAGGAAGTTCTCCAGGCCTCGACTCGACTGAACATCCTTGGGAACATTTGAAAAAGGAGATGTGACATTTCGGCACAGTGTGAGGGTTCTGAGAGACAGCTGGAATAATGAGGGTTCTTCGGTTCTGCAAATTCAAGCTGTGATAAAGGCAAATGGTGGACATATCAAATAATGAGATTTGAACTTTTGGAACAAAGGGAAACTCCACCAATTCTTCAAATTTTCTGCACAATTGAGTGTTTGAGATGTAGAGCCATTCAGAGTGGTTTGATGTGAAATGGTTCATTGTAGGGAAACTCACAGGTAAGATTCTAGAACAGAGCATTTCACATCAAACCGGAATGACTGTTTACATCTTAGCAGTTCAATGATCCAGAAATTTTGCAAAATCAGTGGAATTCCCCTTTAATGAAGACAGATGTAGCAGTAGTGAAGCATCTGAATACATTGAAGAACCTTAACCTCAACCCAAAACCTAATCCTAACCCTCACCCTGGCCCTAATCCTAACCCTAACCTTAAGCTCAACCCAAAACCTAATCCTCACCCTGGCCCTAATCCTAACCCTAACCCTGGCCCTAATCTTAACCTTAACCTCAACCCGAAACCTAATCCTAATCCTAACCCTCACCCTGGCCCTAATCCTAACCCTAACCCTGGCCCTAATCTTAACCTTAACCTCAACCCGAAACCTAATCCTAATCCTAACCCTCACCCTGGCCCTAATCCTAACCCTAACCCTGGCCCTAATCTTAACCTTAACCTCAACCCGAAACCTAATCCTAATCCTAACCCTCACCCTGGCCCTAATCCTAACCCTAACCTCAACCCAAAACCTAATCCTCACCCTGGCCCTAATCCTAATCCTCAATCTGGCCCTAATCCTAACCCTCATATGTGTTTGTGTTACTGAGAGTCTGTTGAGTGTTTGTTTCATCTATAAAGGACACTTAATATAAAGAGTCACAGATAAACCCGACTAATAACATGTACAGTTACGCCTCCTGACCAGTACAGATTAATGTTTACACATCATAATAATTTTATACACAGTATCGTTCAAATTAAACTAAATGTCTGCTTGTAAAAATAAGAAGAAGGTACCAGTCGTACTGCAAGGAAAAAATATCGACTGACTTTATTAAACCCACAGACTTAATAACAGACTGTAATTTTGACATTCATAAAAGTGCAGAGTCCTTAATGTGACAGATTTCTGAGTGAAACAGGATCCTGGAGTGGGAAATGATTGTGGGTGGGACATTTTGGAATTTATTTCTTTTGTGAAAAGCAGGCATTTAGAAAATGTAAAACTGAATGAATCATTAAAAATTAAAAAATGAGGAGAAAAAATAATCTAAAAAATAAAATAAGTGGATTTTGTCATAAATGAAGTACTAAAATATTTTGCTGTGCTTTTTCTGCACTTTCTAAATCATGATTCATGATTCGTTGAAAGCTACATTAACGTTTGGTACATTTTCTTACTCTACACTTTAATTAAAGATTACAGAGAAAGAAAAATTTCAGATTTTGAATGATGCGACACAAAGTACCAAGGAAACAAAACGAAGGTAAAAAGGTTCAAGTTTGATTTTAACTTGACTTGAAACCATAATGAGTGACAAATTAAAAGAAACACAAACATTATTAGTGTTAATTAGTGTTAATTTCCAGCTCTGTTTTCTGATGTCTTTCCCGCAGTTCTGAATGCAGGGGTCACTTTGGTCACTGCTTCTGTTGAGCAGCGTCTGTGGCTGAGGCTGCTGCCGTCTCCACTCCAGTAATGAACCCTCAGAGTCTCTTGTGTCTGGATCCTGATTTGAACTACGTGTTTACACTCAGTAATCAGACGCGTCTCTGGTCAGACTGAAATCTGATTGCTGTTTGGTGTGTAATATGCAAATCAGCCCATATATAACAACAAACTCCCTGTGATGTTTTTTCCATTCTATTCAAAAACATGATTGTCTCCTGAAAAATAATGAACTGACTAATTAATCAGAATAATTAGATTTGCGTTTCTTGAAGGAAAATACAGCGTTTACAAAGAAAGATATCATAAAATAATATTTCAGAAAGAGTCACAGAAATCAAATGAAATGAAATCAAATCAAATGAAAAAGAAAGAAAGGAAGAAAGAAGTGAGGGAAGGAAGAAAAAGGAAAAGTAAGAGAAAGAAAGGAGGTTAGGAAGGAAGAAAAGAAGTAAAAGAAGAAAAAAATGGAGTTAAGTAAGAAAGAGAAAGAAAGAAAGGAGGGTAAAGAAAAAAGTTAAGAGAAAGAAAGGTGGTAAGGAAAGAAGAAAAAGATAAAAGTAAATGAATTCAAACACGTGTGTAACTGACGTGTCTCACACGCCAAACACGGTTTTTGGATGGCAAAAAATGTGATATGCAAAAATGTTACTTTTCCAAAATGGAGAGTAGCTCAGCGTCTCTTTCACAGTGGACAGCACCCTGCATAACGTCACAGTATGTATATGCATGTATGTGTGAGTGTGTGTGTATATATATATATATATATATATATATATATATATATATATATATATATATATATATATATATAATCTATTGTCGGAAGAAAACCTTTTATCTCCAAAATGGTAACTTTACAGGAGAAGGAAAAAACATACTTCACTTTTAATGTATGTCAATGGAACCAGATGTTTTCCCAAGTCATTTTGGGTCATTTCTTTTGGTCCATTCATCATGAAATTTACACACAATATAAAGGGCAACAGGTATTTTCAAATTACACCAAAAACTAGAAAATGACAAAAATGAAGATACAAGGTTTTTTTCCAACAGCAGCGATATATATATATATATATATATATATATATATACTACATATGTAAACTACATCTACAAAGGTCCAAACTATGACATTATGTAGATAGCTGTCCACTGTGGAACAGTACATATACTGTGGAAGTATATATACTGCGCCATGAACAATTGGGCTATATACATATATATATATCTGCCCATTTGTTCATGCCACAAACACAAGGAAATTCCAGATAAAAACGTGTTGCATCCACTGTATATAATTTTGAAAAAACACTGAATGTTCATATAATTTTTTTGCGTTGTTGTTAGTGTGTAACAGCCCTAAACGTTGTAAATATAAAAAATATGACTGAAATTATCTACAAAATGACATTTGAACGGAGTCTGTATGTTAAGCATTGAGGGCTGTGTTAATTTCGTTTAGGAGAGAAAGAAGTAAAAGAATGCCTTGCAAGCTCTGTAATTGGATCACCCAACCGAGATCAACCAAACTGGTGCTAAATTTGAAACCCTTTAAAATCCCAGTCTTATTACACACTAAGGCTTATTATTCAGTAACTACAGGGATTTCAATGCAAACTGGCTGAGCTATTCTTAGATTACAGAAGTGTGTAATAAAACTTTGGGCCTTTGGCCATTTAAGGAGTTAA